GCAAACAGGGTACTCTGATAACTCCAGCACCAGGGAGACAAAGATAGGAGGATCAGAAGTACCAGATAATCCTCAGCTACAAAGAGAGTTCACGGCCAGCCTGGCATACATGAGATCTTGCCCGAAAGAAAGTAATTACTAAAGGATTAAAATAATCTCTGGCATCCTGGAGGCATAAACAAATCGCTAAGCTCCCCTGAGGAGAAGTAGCTTCTGTCGAGGGTGCAGTGAACCATATAGACCAGGCTGGCTTCAAACTCACAAAGATCCACCTCCCTTTGCCTCCTGAATGCTGGGATTGAATGCAAGTGCCACCACCCAAAGCTAAAGACTTATTTTTATTATTTAAATGTATGAGTCTGTGTGAGTGTATGCCACATGTATGCAGGTATCCTTAGAGGCCGGAAGGGGTTTGAGGTCCTTGGGAGCTGGAGTTCCAGGAGGTGATGGGCCTTGGGGCGTGGGTGTGGGAAACAGCACTGGGGTCTGCTGGAAGAGCAGCAAACACTCTCAGCCACTGAGCCATCTCTCCAGCGCCATGATGGGAAAAGGATGCTGGACTTCTCAGGCTATGAGTTTCTGTTCCCACCACTCAACTCCATCATTTGCATTGAGAAATCAGTCCTGAGCAATACATGAGTGAATGGACATGTCTGTGTGCTAAGAAAATCTATTTATATAAACAACCAGTAGACTGTATCTGGCCTGTAGGTCCTAGTTTACTGATTATGAGTACCGAGTATCCAGCGCAGGCCTTAAAGGACAACTCCTGTTATCAGGTTGTCTGTTCAAACGTAAGGGGAAAACTAGATTTCGAAGGTGATGCCTCTAAAAATGAAATGTTCCAAGGTTTGGAAATAGCATCTCCATACAGGCATCACTAAAATGGCCCTCAACCCTTAAAGAAGACAGGCCCTTTTACTTAAATGCAATGGACCATCTTCTGCTTTGGAAACTTGAATTTCTACTGTAGGCTGTAACCATGCAAAATCTGTGAGGTTACACATAAGCAACTACCGTTTTGTTATCTGGAAGAACTGTTGATCCATCTACTGGGTTGCAATGCTTTATTATTATATTTCTTGAGTGTTATATTTGAGTGTTATGTTCCTTGAGGGTTCGTTACGTGCTAGGTGTCATGCAGATGCATGGGTTATCAGCATGTTTCAGATTGGCTTCAGTCAATCCCTCTCTCTCTCTCTCTCTCTCTCTCACACACACACACACACACACAGACACACACACACACACACACACACACACACACCTTCATACCATCACACCATCCAGGACCAAATACAGGATTTCACAGTTAATTAGCATTAAGAAGTTCTACTGTCTTGCTAACCCATCCTTATGTTAATCCTATGGAGCATTATTATTGGACTCATTTAACTGATGAGCAGACTGGAGTTCAAAAAGACCCGTGACTTGCTGTGCTGATACAGCAGTAAACAAAGTCTGTAGCAAGCTTGGGGTAGAATTCAGGTCAGCTGACTCCAAACCTGTGAGGACGTTCTTGTGTGAGCCAAGCCGAGTGCTGTGTCCCATCTCGGGGGATCTACCACACGGCTTCCTGGGCTCAGTTGTTCTCTCAGGATGGAGCTGTGCTCGTCACTGTTCTTCTGGTTCCTTCGGTTAGGTTCAGAAAGGAAATGACTACGAAGGTCAGCGCTGCTGTCTGTTCCAGGCACTGAAAGGGGACAGAGAATGTCCTCTGAGATTCCGTAGCAGACCAAGTTCAAAAGTCAAGTGAAGAACCAGCACTGGAGCCAGAGAAGGGCTCTAGTCACTTGTAGAGACACTATGCCACGTCACATGCAGGGTCCCATGTGATGGTAGACCCAGGCCCAGAGCCTCAGAGGTCTTCCCAAGTTGGGAGAAAGGAAAGACACAACCCTTTTAGTAGGCCAGAATAAGACCAGGGCACAGGGAATTTGAACTGAGTTCTGGCTAAGAAGGAGGAAGTTAAGAAGGGTTGAAATTATATGTGGCTAGATGGAGGTTATTAGAAATGTCTTCATAGAAGAGAGGAGATGGTGGCTGCCCCCATGGAACCAGACTGGGAAATTACTCTGGAACAGCCCAAGAAACAGACCTGGTTTTGTGCCTGACCAGGGGGTAGCAAAGTGTTCACCTGGGGTTTAGTGAGGCGCATTGCTGTGCCCAACTTCTGTGAGTGCACCTGGCCTGTCCTTGGAGTGACCTAGAAATTGGGAACCGAAGCTTCTGGGGGCTGGTGTGTTTTTCCTGGTGGAGACTGGGCATGCAACCCTCAAGACCCGATTTCTATTTCAGAGTCCAGCAAACAGAAGCAGAAATAAGGGTGGCCATCCTCTAACTAGGGCAGTGTGTACGCATGAGTGTCACAACGGAGTGGTTTGTCTAGAGAAGCAGCGCTCAGTGTTCTGTGGCTGTGTCTCATAAATGTATGTTTTTGTTCTTTCAGTCTGTGCGGCAAGGAATCAAGGGGTTTGCGAGTCTTTGTCCTGGATGCAGTAAAATGTGACTCTTGTTCAAGACAAAAAATTCTCTTTAAGATTCTCCGTGAAAGAGCAAGGACCCCAAATAATAGGTCAGTCTGAAACACCCAAATCCTAAGAAAGCAAGAATTAATTACAGCGAGCATTTTCTCCCTTCAAGCAGAGACCCACAGTCATCTGACTGCAAACTCTGCAGTTGTTGCGGAGTAATCCCTTCGCTGTGATTGGTTTAATAAACAAGCTGATTGGCCAATCGCTGAACAGAATAAGGTTAGGTGGGAAAACCAAACTGAGAATGACGGGAAGAGGAGGGGCAGAGGAAGGGCCAGGAAAGGCAGAGAAGCCGGATGAGAACGCAATACTGAGAAAAGGCACAAAGCCACGTGGTAAAGTATAGATAGAAATACGGGTTAATTTAAGCGTAAGAGTTAGCTAGTGGTACTCTCTCAGTCGAGGATTTAGAAGTAATATAAGCCTCTGTGTGATAAACTGGGAAGTGGCTGGCTGGAAAGAAAGATCTGTTTATAGCAGCGTGCCAAGGTGTTCCTTCAGGTGAGGTTGCCTTTTCCAGCCCCTGCTATCAGCCCCGCCAGCCCCTAAGCACGTTAGTCTTATCAGCCAATACTCACTCTGGCACTCTGGATTCCGGAAGGGCATCTGAGACACTAAACTGTGATCATGGGACTGGGAAGTTTGTTTTCCATAGAGCATGCCAGGCACAGAGTATGGGGTGTCGTTGGGACACAATGTCCTCTGAGACAATGATAGGGAGCAAGCTCTGCCTGATGGCGCCCATGCCAACGAACATCCTGGATTGGGTTGACAGTAATACTGCCCCACCAGGTGCTTGGTTGATCATCAAGTCACCCCAAAGGTTCATATTGGGGTACATGGTACATTGGTGAAATACAGCCAAGCAAGTATCCTCTATGGGCAATTCTTTTATCCTAAATCCTTTACCTCAATTAAATTACTGAAGTGTGTGTGTATGTGTGTGTGTGTGCGTGTGCACGCATGCACATGTGGGTGCACACACCATGGTGCATGATTCAATGTCAGTGGGCAACTTTGTGGAGTCAGTTTTCTTCTTTCAACTCCCATTGGTTCCAAGGATTGCACTTAGCGTGTTCAGCTCTTATGACACATTGAACAGTGGCTGAAAAATAAGGAAAGCCACTGGTGGGCCAACAAGCCAACATGTGGGTTGAGTTTAACGTTCTCACTAACACATTAGTGAGTGGCTAAGTGCTCTCCTTGTTTGGGGCTTTGGTGGAGACCAGGCCTAGACCGGGAGTGCCCTGTATACCTCAGAGCTGTGCCTGAGCATTTGGGCTCTCCAGAAAGGTGGCGACTGGTGCCCAGCATGCTCTCACTGTCAGGGGAAGTGACAAAAGAGGGCTGGTTTACTGGAGTCTGTGTGCAGGCTTAAACACAGAACGATGACAGCCTATGTGCCTTTTTCTCCTAAGGAGGAGTAGAGCAGATGGGGCGCAGGCCATCTTCTCAATTACTTTATTGCTTGGGTTGTTAGCAATGTTTGCTCCCTCTCAGAACAGGACTTTAATGGACTTTAATGACATCAGGCAGATGTGCATTGGCGGGGGATAGGGTGTTAGAGTTAGTTTATCTGTGTGTGAAAGAAAATCCTGTGTGAACACGTGACCGTGTGTGAGAGAATGTCTGAGAGAGGCCTAGAGAGAGAGAAAGGCTTTTGATTCATGAACCTGTAACTGAGGCGTTCAGAGACTAGTATGAGCTCTAAGTGTCGCCGGATGGAGGCATGCAGGTGGTCACGTGCAGTGTCCCTCTATCCTTACCTCAGTTGTCCTCTCTGATGGTGCCATCATAGCTGTACTTATTTCCAGCCACATTCAAACTTGCTCCCTCTGTAGAATCAGTAGTCCCAGCAGAACAGAGAACTACTGTCCTTCATCTAATGGAGTATGAGCTTGGCTTTTGACTTGTGCACATCTTTTAACCAGTAACTAGCTAAGAGTGACATATAGTGACTTTCTATAGATCTCAGATCAAAGGGGTCTCTCTCTACATATCTGAAAGTCCATATAGGTTTAAAATAGCAATATATCGCTTACTACATTAAATATCTGTTCACAGGAAGAGGGATATCATTAATTATTGGCCTCATGTTCAAGACAAGTCTTTTAAGAAAGTAGTATTCATCTTTTGTACAAAAATTAGAATATTCCTCTGGTACATCTTAGTTTTCTTATTATCAATGTTTTGAAATTGTAAAGTCTCCTTAGGACCAATTTTGTTCTCAATACCACCATTACTTGTGTATCTTATTCTCTCTCTCTCTCTCTCTCTCTCTCTCTCTCTCTCTCTCTCTTTCTCTTTCTCTCTCTCTTTTCTGGTGCAGATTCTAACTATGTAGCCATGGCTGGGCCTGGAATTCACCAAGTAGACCAGGCTGGCCTCAAACCAACAGAGTCCCCGCCTCTGCCTCCTGGTTCTCCTGGTTGCTGGAATTAAATGTGTGAGCCACCATTCACACCGTGTGTTCCTTCTTATATGAATCAGAACTAGTAGTGAACACTGAGTTCTGGGTTGCAAAAAAGAGAATTCTTTTTTCCACCTGCCTTTCAGGCCTTCAAGTGATGTCTTTTGAAACTGATGGTGGAGGCAGTCTAACCCGAATAATAGGGACTGAAAAAGGAGGAAGGCTTCATAAGATCAGTGTGGGTGCTGTCCTCGGGTGGAGGCATAAATTCTGACCAGGAGAAGGTCAGTGGAGGGAGTTTGAAGTCAGAAGGCCTGCCAGGCGTGTAGACCTTTAACCTGGCATGCACTTTCTGTTTTACTTCAGTGGACCACATGTTGCAGAGAAGAGTGCGGGCTCCTGAGGATGGGTTTCTCCGAAAGGTGGCGCGCACCTCACCACAGCCTGCAGAATTCCCATACTACAGAGCTCTGGCCACCTCTCTCCTCCCAGCATCTACACATCCACCACAGGTCATTTTCTGGACTCGTAGAATGCTGACCCTAATTCTCTGTGTCTGGCTGAAGGAAGTTCTGGCCACCCGAGAGCAGCCCACAACAGTGTCCCATGACTGCACCCAGGAACAATCTCCTTCTCCTCACCCCAGGCCACAGTCATCCCAAGAGCAGTTCTACCATTTCTCTTAGTTGCCCTGGGCGCTTAGGTGCCAACAGCCCTCAGAGATTGCCTTCTTGTGTGCCTTCCCTTCCTGCTCCACTTGTCTTCCGTCTCCCTGCTGGTGTCTCTGGATCAATTCCCACACAAACCGCCTGCTTCTGGACCCTTCCTTCTGGGGCGACAGTTGGGAGATGGAATTGCCTTCCCAGGTGATCTCTTCGCTCAGCCAGTAATGACTAGCAAGGGCTAAGCCAGTCCCCGCTACAAGGGATTGTAAAGAACAGAAGAGAAACTGAGGTCCCCGACTGTGGCCGAGTTCACGGACACATGACAATGGGATGATTGTGAACCAGAGAAGACACAAAACGTGAGGACAACCTGTCAAGTGATCATCCTTGGGTACTTGATACTTCAGTGTTTTGCTTGCGCACACAGACAGAAACCAGTGTTGATCTAAGGATGCCAAGAAATCACATCTGACCTTTTTCACCACCTGAGCACACCTGCCTTGCTCTCTGAAAGCGCCGCTGTGGTGAGGTGGACCTTCAGGACGTACTTCCCGCGGCTGAAGATGGGGACGCCCTTAGAGTAGTATCACAGCTCCTAGGCCAGACACCTCTCCATATTAACTTCTCCAGAGGGTCCTGTCCTTCTAGTCTCTGCCCACCTCTCAAAGTTTACATTAAATTCCATCTCCTCTGGGCTCCATTCTGTCTTCACTTCCCTATATTACCACCCCCTCCTCTCCCGAAGCCCTCTGCCAGTCCTGGGACCATCCCTGGGCTTGTTCCCAGTTACCACCAACTTTAGACAGTAGTGTAACTAGTCTCTCTTTATGGACACACAGTAACAACTCCCTGTTGACTACAATGCTTTTTTGGAACTATAGCAATAAAGCAAACAACAACAATAAAAGACTTTTCACATGTCTGTCAGGAAAGAAAAACAGACAGATATTTGTATGGAATACTTTGGTGACAGTTGAAGAGAAAAAAGGAGACGTCTGCGTAAGGGCATGGAAAAACACTTGTGCTGATTAAAAAGGAATTAGATCCGTGAAAATACACAGAAAGTTGTAAGTGTAAATTGTAGCCAGTGGAAGCTGCATATACCATAAATACAACTATATGACATTCTGGAAATGCCAAAGTGAAAGACATAAAAAGATCTGGAGTTTCCAGGTGTAAAGGTTGGGAGAAGGATGAGAACTTTTAGCACAGATGAAGCGGTTGTGATTACAGACATATTTTTGAGTTTGGCAGAACCCATAGAACACACAGCACAAGAATGAACTGGCATTGGCTCATCATTTGCACACACACGCCACACCCAAGCAAGGTTTCAGCAGTATCGTAAAAATGAGAGAAGTACTGACGGGGACCCTGTAAGGTATACTCAGTCTTCTCTAAACCCAAAACTTCTCGAAGAAACAAAGCCCATGTGTATTCTGAAAATCTGGAATGGTAGTTTGCTGGGATAATGGCACAGGCATGCAATTCTGGTTACTGAGCAAGCTGATGCAGGAAGACTGCAGTTAGATGCCACCCTGGGCCAACTCTGTGTGGCTAGGCATGGATGACGCCTTGGGTTCAGACCCCTGACATGGAAAACACACAAAACTTTCAATCTCTTTAAAATACCCAACCTCTCTAAACATCCAAAGTATCTCCTCAAAGTTCAGTCTTTCAGCTGTGCGGGCCCGTAAAATTCAAAAGGAAATTAATACCTTCTTCAAGGGGGAAGAACCCAGACACAGTCACGACCTGAATGAAGCAAAACCAAACCCCGACAGTATAAATAACTTAACGTCCAATTATCTGGGATTCACTCACAATCTTCTGGCCTCCTTCAAGGAGTTTAAGTCACTTCATCCGCTCTGCCCTCTGCATCACACACAGCTTGTCTTCTAGGCTCCAGCCGACTCCACTCCGCTGCTGTTGCAGTTCCTGGTGGCCATCTCATGGTACTGACATCTCCAAAACGCTGGGGTCTTCTGCTGCAGCTAGATGTAAATTGGCATCAGACCAGTTAACATAGGATCTTGTGCCCTTTTCTGGCCTCTCCGGGCAAGAGGCACACACATACTGCACAGACATCCGTGCAGTCAAAACTCTTCACCCAGCTGTGCCACTCCTGGGAATAGACCTCAAAAGCTCCACCCATGCCACAGAGATACTTGCACATCCACACTTACTGCTTCTTTACTGATAAGGACATGGAGCTGGCCTAGGGATCTCCAACAGATGAATGGACACTAGAAATGTAGTCCATGAACAAAATAGGATTTTACTCAGTTGCAAAGAAAAAAGAAATCACAAAATTTTTAAGGAAAATGATGGATAAGAAAATTACAATATTAAATGAAGTGACCTGTACTCAGACAAAAACTGCATGTTCTTTCTCATATGTGGATCCTAATCTGTCGTGTGTGTGTGTGCGTGTGTGTGCGTGCATGTGTGTGTCAGTGTAGGTAAAGCCTAAAAAAACCTACATAGGATATCAAGAGACAGAGAAAACAAAACTAGGTCATGAGGATGGATGAAGGTTGGGCAAAGGACACATGGGACGTGGAAAATGAAGAAAAGAGACAGGAAGGGGAGTTGGGAGGAAGGACACTCAAAGATAGCAAAGGGTTGGGGGAGATGGGGTGGAAGGAGACTCACTAAAACACACTTTGTTCAAAAATGCTACAATTATATCTAAATCCTGTGTGTCAATTTAAAACAAGAAAACCGCAAAATGTTTAGAAAGAGGACATAGTGAGCTCCGCTAACTGGCTTCCAAATGGGTAGAGAGTTTGGTACTTGCCATTTTATATACTTTTGTCTACTTCAGGTTCTTTTTTAAAACGTATGTTTTTATTGATGTTGTGATTTTTACAAAAAGCTAAGTCAAAAAAATGACAAATGGAAGACACCAAGGGCGAACAAAGGTGAGAGCTGAGTCCCGGGCCCAGAGTGACAAGGAGCCCAAGGCGGGCAGAGAGCAACACTATCCAGCATTTCTTTTGCTGTGACGATGCGTGGCCTAAAAAGCACACTGGGGAAGGAAAGGGTTAATTCGGCTTACACTTCAGCATTGCTGTTCATCACTGAAGGAAATCAGGACAGGAACTCAACAGGGCACATCCTGGAAGCAGAAACTGATGCCATGGAAGGGAGTTGCTAATTGGCTTGCTTCCCATGGCTTGCTTAGTCCACCTTCTTATAGAACCCAGGACCAGCAGCCCAGGGATGACACCACTCACAATAGGCTGGGCCCTCTCTTGTTGATCACTAGTTGAGAGAATGCTTCACAGCTGGATCTCATCAAGGCATTTCCTCAACCAAGGCTCCTTCTGATGACTCTAGCTTGTGTCAAACAGACACACAAAACCAGCCAGCACAGATGCTGAGCTGCTATGACAACAGACTCCAGGGAAAGGCAGAACATCGTTAGAGATTTCATTAGAAGCACAACTAGGGGAAGAGAGGGGGAAATTACAAAATCCAATGACAAATAATTCTGGGGACACAGGTTAGGGAAGGGAACATTGTTCTAAGAGTTGGCATGTGCTTTGGAGCACCTGGTGTGCTTTGACTGTAGGAGAGTGCTTGTTCTTTGTGTTGCCAGCATAACACACCCAGAAACAGCCTGACAGGGGTCAACACCTGCCTTAGTGAGGGTTTTGTTGCTGTGAACAGACACCATGACCACAGAAACTCTTATAAAGGGACACATTTAATTGGGGCTGGCTTACAGTTTCAGAGGTTTAGTCTGTTACCATCATGGCGAAAAACATGGCAGCGTGCAGGCAGCCATGGTACTGGAGAAGGAGCTGAGAGTTCTACATCTTGATCCACAGGTAACAGAAGGGGACTGTGAGCCACACTGGGTGTAGTTTGAGCATATAAGACCTCAATGCTCACCCCCACAGTGACGTACTTCCTTCAACAAGACCACACCTGCTCCAGCAAGACCACACTATTCCACAAGGCCACTCCCTACAGGCTAAACACTCAAATTCGTAAGTCTATGGCCATTTCTATTTAAATCACCACAACCCTTTTTAGGTTTGTGTTGACAGGGCAGTGGCGGACAGCAAGGACTGGATAGTAACCTGAGGTATATAGTTAAGGGGTGCACACCTGTGCTCCCAAGATTCTATGACATCAAAGAGGCAGGAGACTGGGTGTGGTGGTGCATGCCTTTGATCTCAGCATTCTACAGGTTGAGGCAGATGCACTGGAGGTTCAGGAAAACTTGAGATACACAATGAGGAATAATCTAGAAGGGGGGAGAATGTGGTGTGAACTCTTTTCTGTTTTTATCTTTTTTGGTTGATTTTGTTTTGTGTATTGGAAAAGTAGAAGTCAGCATCTTCTGATGTCAAACTGTCTGAATCTGTGACTTCCCTGTGTGTCTTCCCAGGAGTAAAGACCTTGGCTAGTTTTGGCTGTCAATACATAGATAAAACACCATAGCTTCTGCTGCTCCTTCCAAAGGAGCATAAGCCACTTTTAAACCCCTAATAAGAAGTATGTT